CTCGGGTCTTCAACTCGGACTTTCAATTGAAGGCCCGATTTGAAGACCCGAGTTTGTAGCAGAGATGTCAGACAAAATATGAATGTTTTTTTGGACTCAAATGAAAGAGCGGGTCGAGAAATGGCGTGCAGAAGTCTTTAAAGATGACAAATCTCTCTAAAGATGATGTCTGTTTTCAATTGAAAAGCGCAATTGTGACAACATTTTCCAGTGGGTTCTAGGAGTCTCCCCTGGTTCAACACCATCTTTAGAGGTCCTAGCACGCCATTTNCGCAAAAATCTTCAAACAATTTGCTACCGATTTGTGATAAAATTTTTTGGAAATAATTAAATAGGGGGGATAACGCCTTTTTTTCAGGGGTGATTTTTCAAAAATTTATTTTAAAAAAAGTACCAACTAGCAAATGTTTTTTATTAGCTCGCAATTTTCTTCACAACTACTTCAATGAGGAAAAAAATAAAAAATTGGAATATCTATACATGAGGGGCTAATTGATCGGATCTGAAAACCCACCCTTATTTATGAATATAGGATGGGTCTAAACTAGGTACATCCGCAAATGGTACAGGAAGTGGCGGCCATTTTTCTCAGCAGTTTCGGGGGTAGGGCCATCTAGAATCACTGTAGGGAACTGAAAAAGAGAATTTCTTTACCTGTTGTGAAAATTACCGATCGGAGAAGGGAATGCGAGTGTCCTCTATCATAATTTTATTGTAACGGAAAATTTGGATGTTTTATAGATGGCGATAGTAATCCACAAACCATCTTTCAACGTTCTGTCAAGGGGTGCTCATCCTAAAATAATAACGAGAATGTGCATGGAAGCTATGTGCCCCGTTTTTTTCAAATAATTAATTAATTGTTAATGAATTAATTTATTGTATCGATGATGGTTATTCACTCTTTGAATTTAATCAGATATTTTTTTCGCAGTGCTCTATAATATTTCTTATTGCTGCGCTTAATTATATATAATTGGATTAACCTAAATTACCGGTGATGGTATTTAAAATTTTTAAAAATGATAAATAAATCGTTGTTCATTCTATCATCCCATACAAATAATTGTTGTTAATGTTTATTGTTAATAATTGGAAAAAAAAATTGGTTTCGGCGAGATTCGAACCCTGAGCCTCCAGCATATAAATCCATAACCTTATCCACTCTGCCAAAGGAGGCCATTTAACTTGGCATTTAGTTTTGTCTATAACACGATAATTATTAAATTTTATATTGTTTATGCATATAGTCCACCATAGTTCCAATTAATATCTTGTTTCTTCATTATTGGTGACTATCAAATAATCAAATAATTATTGCGAATAAATATAAATGATCTCGATAGAATCATAGATTTGTTTTCTGCATAAATTTTTTCATCATGTACTAATTAATTGTTTACTATGTCAACGAAGGTTATTACAATATTCCATTCAATCAAATCAATTATTGGAATCTGCCGTGAAGTGTTTTTTAATACCTGGCATTATTTAATTAGATTTGTTTGCATAAAAGTCAATATCAGATATTAATTATAAACAAATCACCAAAATTCCATCATCCCATGAGAAACTATTTGGATTGTTACGCTTAATTACTTGTGGTTGAATCATCAGAAATTACCGGTAATGACATTTGAAATAAAAAACAATTAATAATGAATGGTTGTACACATATTATCATCCCATAAAAATAATTGTTGTTAACGTTTATTGTTGATAAATGAAAACAAAAAAATTAGTTTCGGCGAGACTTGAACCCTGCCCCAAAATATTATGATTCCCATAATATTATCCACTTATTTATTTTATTTTTTTAAATCACTCTGCCAAAGCACTGTATTTGATTTGGAAATTTAATTATGCCTATACGATGGTCGTTATTACTCCTTACTTTTTTTTTAATTTTCAAAAAATTGAAACGAATAGAGACTTGTATATTAATTTATTTTTTGTATTATCAAACAGTTAAAACAACGGTTGTTATCGTAACGTCACGACCGTTTGCAGGTAGTTTGAAAAACACTCCTTTTCAATGTTCAATTTTTTAAAGGAATTCATGGCGTTTTTTTATTAGAATTCCCTACGGCGAAGTGTAGTACTCCACGCCGGAGTTGAGGGAGGGAGTAGGCGAAGGGGTCGGAGCCAAATAATAATATTAATTTTTGAGAAAAAAAGGATAATTCCTCGGTAGACATTTTCATTTCTTTTATTATTGGAAATTTCCCTCAATTAAAAAAAGTTATGCTCGATTAGTTTTTCACTCCGGATTCATACCCACCAAAGTAATAATCGTATTTGGAGTTTCATTCCTGGAAAAGAGGGGAGTAATTCGGAACAGCCATATAGAAGGGAGGCAGCTCAAGTCATGAACGCCCGACAATAAACGACCTGACCATGGCAGGTGTACTCGTACAGGTATAAATCGATAGTCCCTACTCAGGAGAACTCAGTCGCAGGACTACTCCTCGCAGTTTCAACATCGTCACCGTCATCATTCAATCGAAATAGTGTTACGTGCATTTTATATTTTTGTAATTGTGTGTGACGTCTCCAGAATGAAAAGACCAAGTACGAGTGTCCTACCTACGGAGATTATTATTCACATATTTAAATACGTTCCCATACTATGGAAGATTAAACTGGAAAGAGGTATGGGCATCTTCTCTCGTTGTCTTTATAGAAAGGGGGGGAACATACCTTCATAGTGCCCAATTGGGACAGTTTCAAGTTGATCGCCAGATATGGGTGAATTCGCCAAACATTGGTTCAATTTAATTACGATTTTTTTTTTTTGGAAAAAGGTGAAATAATTGAATTTGAAGAAATAATAATTAATTCGTTTCATTAGTCCTAGACCCTTAAAAAAAATACTTTTCTCGTTGGGCCAAATTTCAAATAAGTGGCTCAACGCTCTGCTAAATTCGAAACTCATCTTAGTTTGCAGGCAATGGCAGGAGGCGAGCAAAGCTTCCTGGAGCGGTATTAGGCGATTAATTGTCGTTTCTCCCCGTCGGCGCAGAAACTCCCTTGGCATATATGTCCAAAATGATGAAATATATATCTCAAGATATGACCAAATAATGATGGATGCCATTCTATCTCGTATTGGGCACAACATCACCCATCTATCATTTGAGTTGTTTTCTGTCGATCTGGATAAACATTTCTTCCTACTCATCGCGAAACATTGCACCAATGTGGAGAACTTCAGCAGCAGCGGATGGCAGAAATCAGCAGAGCTGAAGCACTTACTTTCTTGCAATACAAAATTAAGATCCATTTACTTGGATGGAGCAGAGGTGAGTTTAAGCGCATTGCAAGGCCGGAACTGGAAATGTTTGCACTTACTAGGTGGCATGCCGATTTGGGAAAAGGCTTCGAAGGAACGAGTAGTGGAACTCATAAATGGCAGTTCCGATTTGGAAGATTTGAGACTTGACACATGGTCGGAAGAAATTCGTGATGCCGTCGTAAAGAAGTCGAAATTGAAGTCCCTGGGTTATTGCGAAGAATTGTTTCGCTATGGTCGACGTCCGGAGTTAATTAATTTCCAGGGAATGCGATTATTGACGAGTTTGGCCCTATGTGATCTCGGGATAAAGGTGGATTGTGCAGAACGTTTCCTCAGGATGCTCATCCAAATATCCCTGTATTGTCCAAACTTCCAGGAATTATCAATACGAGGTGAAAATTCAATAAAAATGATATACTTCCATGAATTCTTAGTAATTAAGGATAATAATAGTGATAATAATAATGATCATAATAATAATAAGAATCATACTAAAAATACTAATAACAATAACAATCCATAATAGTAACTACCATAATAATAATATTCTTATTATTATGGTAGATAATAGGAGAAGCGGGGGGTGGTTATTATTATTTCATTGTATATCTATATTGAGAAAATTTAAGGGCGATGAGAAACAATATGTAAAAACTCGAGAGGGTATACGGAAGACGAATAATTCTGAATAATTATTTGCATAAAAATGTTTTTGCCTTCATTGCAGAGACGGCGGTATCAAATTCGGCGTATGAAGCGATGTTGGCTTTACCAAAACTTCATACCCTGGCCTTAGAAAATATCAAGTCCTTTGATGATACCATGCTCGTGCGGCTATCAAAGCTTCGCCGGTTAGCAGTGAAGAACGTTGGTTATAGCGTTGAAGGATTGCTGTCGTTTTTGGCCGAAGCCACCGATTTGGAGTATTTGGACATTAGCTGGAGTAGCCTATATATTGCAGAACTGGAGCAGATCATTAATGTTACATTCCATCGAAAGAACAAACTGAAGATCATCGTTCACCAACGTGATATGAATAAAATTGTATCCATGTCTCCAGGAAAACATGTGACGTTCGCCCAGTGGCATTATAAGCAACATACGCATTTCCTGCTCCGTCCATGAATAATTAATATGAATATAAATATGTAAAATCTATGGAATGGCGAATAACAACGAATTTTGTTGATAATATAGTTGAGATTTCCAAATACTTGATTCATTTGGTAGGGGGGGGGGGCTTGTGTATAGATTGCACAATACACAAGCCCACGTCACCATAACATGATGTTCTATGGTTCTCTGCAGTTTCCCTACTGGCGCAGGTAGGGTTCATCCCCACAATGACAGGTCAATGAGGATTGGTGGCTTTTACAACAAATGGGACTGGAGTTAGTCTGTGGACATTGCTCCCACCAGGTGCACCGCTCAGGTAAACACAGTTCTAGATCGGCGGTCAATCACGGCGGATATCTCACGGAATACGCACAGAACGAGATCCCAAAAACATACCTCTTTCTAGTACAATCTTCGAAGTGGGAGGAACACTTTTGAAAATTTCCGTCAATAACTCCAGTGGAAAGTCTGTAAGACCCCTGATTGTTTTTCTTTCAGATGGCATTTTCACCGAACACCGAATAATATATGCTAAATTGCAACTGATTATAAATTTTCTGTGCGTATTCCGTGAGATATCCGCCGTGATTGACCGCCGATCTAGAACTGTGTTTACCTGAGCGGTGCACCTGGTGGGAGCAATGTCCACAGACTAACTCCAGTCCCATTTGTTGTAAAAGCCACCAATCCTCATTGACCTGTCATTGTGGGGATGAACCCTACCTGCGCCAGTAGGGAAACTGCAGAGAACCATAGAACATCATGTTATGGTGACGTGGGCTTGTGTATTGTGCAATCTATACACAAGCCCCCCCCCACTACCAAATGAATCAAGTATTTGGAAATCTCAACTATTTTATCAACAAAATTCGTTGTTATTCGCCATTCCATAGATTTTACATATTTATATTCATATTAATTATTCATGGACGGAGCAGGAAATGCGTATGTTGCTTATAATGCCACTGGGCGAACGTCACATGTTTTCCTGGAGACATGGATACAATTTTATTCATATCACGTTGGTGAACGATGATCTTCAGTTTGTTCTTTCGATGGAATGTAACATTAATGATCTGCTCCAGTTCTGCAATATATAGGCTACTCCAGCTAATGTCCAAATACTCCAAATCGGTGGCTTCGGCCAAAAACGACAGCAATCCTTCAACGCTATAACCAACGTTCTTCACTGCTAACCGGCGAAGCTTTGATAGCCGCACGAGCATGGTATCATCAAAGGACTTGATATTTTCTAAGGCCAGGGTATGAAGTTTTGGTAAAGCCAACATCGCTTCATACGCCGAATTTGATACCGCCGTCTCTGCAATGAAGGCAAAAACATTTTTATGCAAATAATTATTCAGAATTATTCGTCTTCCGTATACCCTCTCGAGTTTTTACATATTGTTTCTCATCGCCCTTAAATTTTCTCAATATAGATATACAATGAAATAATAATAACCACCCCCCGCTTCTCCTATTATCTACCATAATAATAAGAATATTATTATTATGGTAGTTACTATTATGGATTGTTATTGTTATTAGTATTTTTAGTATGATTCTTATTATTATTATGATCATTATTATTATCACTATTATTATCCTTAATTACTAAGAATTCATGGAAGTATATCATTTTTATTGAATTTTCACCTCGTATTGATAATTCCTGGAAGTTTGGACAATACAGGGATATTTGGATGAGCATCCTGAGGAAACGTTCTGCACAATCCACCTTTATCCCGAGATCACATAGGGCCAAACTCGTCAATAATCGCATTCCCTGGAAATTAATTAACTCCGGACGTCGACCATAGCGAAACAATTCTTCGCAATAACCCAGGGACTTCAATTTCGACTTCTTTACGACGGCATCACGAATTTCTTCCGACCATGTGTCAAGTCTCAAATCTTCCAAATCGGAACTGCCATTTATGAGTTCCACTACTCGTTCCTTCGAAGCCTTTTCCCAAATCGGCATGCCACCTAGTAAGTGCAAACATTTCCAGTTCCGGCCTTGCAATGCGCTTAAACTCACCTCTGCTCCATCCAAGTAAATGGATCTTAATTTTGTATTGCAAGAAAGTAAGTGCTTCAGCTCTGCTGATTTCTGCCATCCGCTGCTGCTGAAGTTCTCCACATTGGTGCAATGTTTCGCGATGAGTAGGAAGAAATGTTTATCCAGATCGACAGAAAACAACTCAAATGATAGATGGGTGATGTTGTGCCCAATACGAGATAGAATGGCATCCATCATTATTTGGTCATATCTTGAGACATATATTTCATCATTTTGGACATATATGCCAAGGGAGTTTCTGCGCCGACGGGGAGAAACGACAATTAATCGCCTAATACCGCTCCAGGAAGCTTTGCTCGCCTCCTGCCATTGCCTGCAAACTAAGATGAGTTTCGAATTTAGCAGAGCGTTGAGCCACTTATTTGAAATTTGGCCCAACGAGAAAAGTTTTTTTTTTAAGGGTCTAGGACTAATGAAACGAATTAATTATTATTTTTTCAAATTCAATTATTTCACCTTTTTCCAAAAAAAAAAATCGTAATTAAATTGAACCAATGTTTGGCGAATTCACCCATATCTGGCGATCAACTTGAAACTGTCCCAATTGGGCACTATGAAGGTATGTTCCCCCCCTTTCTATAAAGACAACGAGAGAAGATGCCCATACCTCTTTCCAGTTTAATCTTCCATAGTATGGGAACGTATTTAAATATGTGAATAATAATCTCCGTAGGTAGGACACTCGTACTTGGTCTTTTCATTCTGGAGACGTCACACACAATTACAAAAATATAAAATGCACGTAACACTATTTCGATTGAATGATGACGGTGACGATGTTGAAACTGCGAGGAGTAGTCCTGCGACTGAGTTCTCCTGAGTAGGGACTATCGATTTATACCTGTACGAGTACACCTGCCATGGTCAGGTCGTTTATTGTCGGGCGTTCATGACTTGAGCTGCCTCCCTTCTATATGGCTGTTCCGAATTACTCCCCTCTTTTCCAGGAATGAAACTCCAAATACGATTATTACTTTGGTGGGTATGAATCCGGAGTGAAAAACTAATCGAGCATAACTTTTTTTAATTGAGGGAAATTTCCAATAATAAAAGAAATGAAAATGTCTACCGAGGAATTATCCTTTTTTTCTCAAAAATTAATATTATTATTTGGCTCAGACCCCTTCGCCTACTCCCTCCCTCAACTCCGGCGTGGAGTACTACACTTCGCCGTAGGGAATTCTAATAAAAAAACGCCATGAATTCCTTTAAAAAATTGAACATTGAAAAGGAGTGTTTTTCAAACTACCTGCAAACGGTCGTGACGTTACGATAACAACCGTTGTTTTAACTGTTTGATAATACAAAAAATAAATTAATATACAAGTCTCTATTCGTTTCAATTTTTTGAAAATTAAAAAAAAAAGTAAGGAGTAATAACGACCATCGTATAGGCATAATTAAATTTCCAAATCAAATACAGTGCTTTGGCAGAGTGATTTAAAAAAATAAAATAAATAAGTGGATAATATTATGGGAATCATAATATTTTGGGGCAGGGTTCAAGTCTCGCCGAAACTAATTTTTTTGTTTTCATTTATCAACAATAAACGTTAACAACAATTATTTTTATGGGATGATAATATGTGTACAAACATTCATTATTAATTGTTTTTTATTTCAAATGTCATTACCGGTAATTTCTGATGATTCAACCACAAGTAATTAAGCGTAACAATCCAAATAGTTTCTCATGGGATGATGGAATTTTGGTGATTTGTTTATAATTAATATCTGATATTGACTTTTATGCAAACAAATCTAATTAAATAATGCCAGGTATTAAAAAACACTTCACGGCAGATTCCAATAATTGATTTGATTGAATGGAATATTGTAATAACCTTCGTTGACATAGTAAACAATTAATTAGTACATGATGAAAAAATTTATGCAGAAAACAAATCTATGATTCTATCGAGATCATTTATATTTATTCGCAATAATTATTTGATTATTTGATAGTCACCAATAATGAAGAAACAAGATATTAATTGGAACTATGGTGGACTATATGCATAAACAATATAAAATTTAATAATTATCGTATTATAGACAAAACTAAATGCCAAGTTAAATGGCCTCCTTTGGCAGAGTGGATAAGGTTATGGATTTATATGCTGGAGGCTCAGGGTTCGAATCTCGCCGAAACCAATTTTTTTTTCCAATTATTAACAATAAACATTAACAACAATTATTTGTATGGGATGATAGAATGAACAACGATTTATTTATCATTTTTAAAAATTTTAAATACCATCACCGGTAATTTAGGTTAATCCAATTATATATAATTAAGCGCAGCAATAAGAAATATTATAGAGCACTGCGAAAAAAATATCTGATTAAATTCAAAGAGTGAATAACCATCATCGATACAATAAATTAATTCATTAACAATTAATTAATTATTTGAAAAAAACGGGGCACATAGCTTCCATGCACATTCTCGTTATTATTTTAGGATGAGCACCCCTTGACAGAACGTTGATAGATGGTTTGTGGATTACTATCGCCATCTATAAAACATCCAAATTTTCCGTTACAATAAAATTATGATAGAGGACACTCGCATTCCCTTCTCCGATCGGTAATTTTCACAACAGGTAAAGAAATTCTCTTTTTCAGTTCCCTACAGTGATTCTAGATGGCCCTACCCCCGAAACTGCTGAGAAAAATGGCCGCCACTTCCTGGACCATTATTTGCGGATGTACCTAGTTTAGACCCATCCTGAATATATACGAGCCGAAGCGACGCCTGCATTTTATATTCGTAACTAGCGACACATAAGCGACAGTCTTTTGCCAGCGCATCACCTTTCTAAATTTCGGCCTCCTGGTCTCTATTTTTTATTGGCTCCGAGTTTAGTCTGCACTCTTTGGTTACCATTGGTTACATCCCAAAGTTACAGAACAATTCGATGAAGATAAAAAGTCGGAAAAAATATTTTTCGCGGACTCTTATGATTGCTATTGACTGTTAATAAGTATGAAGAAATGATTTTCAGTAGAAATAATGTAGATTTTGGAGTTGAGTTAACTTTCGGACAGTGCCTGAAGATAATGTAATGAGCAGGGTTTCATGTCATGATGTTCGCTGATTGTCAAGATGATTGTCAACGGACAATCAACATATTGACTCAAGAGTGAACCACAGTGACAATGTGAAAGACCCCCATGCTTGTTTCGGTGGTAAGTTTATAGTTGGGTCCCTGACTGGGTGATTTAATGAGTTTTGGATTTTCGGATTCAATACAGCTCCCAGCCACTGCTAATTATGAGAAATCTGTCGGTCGTATACTTCCTAACTGGAGCATTGGGAATTGTCGGTGGACACTTGTGTCCCACACCGTGCAGCTGTAAACTTGTGGGACCCCAAAATGAGCGGCTCAGGGTTAGATGTAATGAAGATATTCAGAACATTAAGGACATTAATATCAACGCTGTCAGCATAGAACTCTATCATCTGTGAGTGGATGTCTGTTTTTAGAGTTAAATAGTTTATTTATTAATAATTTTTTAGTTACTCGTATAATGGGTGTGCAAAAATGGTCCAACTTGAACTTCATATGTACGTGATCGTCTGTATGACGATCCAATCTCGTCAATTTTAATTTCTAGAATATTTTTTTCAGTCCATTGTGTTAAGGATAATCGGACGCGGAGGAAATGTAGGAGGTGAGGCGGAGGGGTTTCTATTGTTTTCCTGCAGAAAACCAATCGCTGAACAAAAAAAATTTTCCCATTCGGATTCAAAATTCAGGCAATATTAGGGCGTATCTCCGGTTAAAAATTATTTTTAGTGCTAACCAGATTTATTTGTATCTGTTCCACGCAATGAATGGTTTTTAGATTGTTTTTTTTTAATAAATGAAAAAATAATCCATGCGAAAAAGTGGCAACATCGTCGGTAGTTTTTTTTTTCACCAGGAGCTGGTACCACTGGCTCGAGGGAGCTCCAATCACAACGCTTCATCGCTCTCTCTCAAGAGACGTTTAAATTGACCGCGCTACCCCCACCCGATCGGTACTTGGGACATGTTGCTGCTCGTTTGGGCCAGAGATTATAAGGGAGATTGCTAACGCCTATGGAAACGCTTCAACCACAAAATTTCGTAGCGAGTATGTACCTGTAAGTAAAACAGGGAGCGTGTGAGAGCGTCGATAACGGCGCAGAGTGGGGGGGAACGCGTATGGGGGAATCGGAGGGCGGAACGAGCGGTGATGTTCGCTGTCGAGTAGGATCCTCAACCGATTGCGACCTGCTTCATCCCTTCACCTCGATTCATCATACCTGTCCATGTTATTTGTTACTAATAGGTTGATTGTTTAGCCAATTGCCTTGGGGACGATCCGAGGGGGTAGTTTCCCCGTAATGAATTGAAAAGAATGGTAGGAGAAATGAAATTGGAACTTTTAAATTTCAAGTGCAATGTTTGATCACCCAAAGGCATTTGTTTTCGGGGG